CCTCATTCCTTGTTTTCTACCAAACATCTTTGAGTCCCTTGAAAGAGAAACTGTGATTATAACGCCTCTCAAGTTTCACCCTTTTCAAACAGCTCCAAAGGCATGAGGCTTTGTTGAACAATACGTCACACAGGCTTGTTAACTTTGAGTTAAACCCATCTGAAGAGGGTCCCGTTACTTTCTCCTTTATTCCTCGGCAGCTTTAGTCATTATTTATACTCTGCTCAGGGTCCTTCTCATTTAAAGGTGATTTAAGACGTTTGAACAAAGAAAGCTGTCATTTTTTATCCCAGTGGTGGACTCTTATCTTACAGTTTGATGTTGACATAATCTGAATCTCAAACAACAACTCCAGCACCCAGATAGTCAATCATGTCCAGTATTTGTCTTTGAAACGTGGCAGATGAAAAGAAAACTCCAGCGAACTCCCATTTCCTGTCTCGCTTTGTTCAAAAACCAAGACAGAAACGGTGAATTATTGCTTTTCACGATCCCGACCAATGTTCCAGAGCTGTAAAAGTGCTGTGTGCAGAATTTTCTGCCAGCAAAAGCCAGTTCATCAATCAGCCTCCACCCCTGCCGCCTCCGTCATATTACATGTCAATGGTAATAACGGGGATAACGATCCCTGGCTGGTTATATCCCCAGAGAAATCTCACCCAACAGAGCGGCTCTACTCTTCCCTTCACTGAAACTCCCTCTTCCGCACAGATCCTCCCCTTCTTCGTCCCCTTACTCGTCCCTGTAGAAATAGCTGTATAATTCATATTCCCAGTTGGTATCTGTCAAGCTGTGTCAGAGGCAGTGAAGGGGAAGTTGCCCTAAAGCCGTGGCTTCAAAATCGGCTCACCTGCCCTTAACCCCGGGTCCTAGTGAGATAAATTGTTATTCTGACCCTGTTTCTGTGACCTATAGACCTGAACAGTAGTCGCCGGCATGAATGCCTTTTTCTGATTGGTCACAAAGGTGCTGTGTGAATGTATTTAGAACTGCAAAGCTGGCAGAACGGTTTGATGTCTGATGCAGTTTTTGGTTGGTTTGTAATAACCTAGTAAAAATAAATCCAGTTACATGTGTCCACTTCGGTTTGAGTGATACCAGATTGTTCCACTATTGTGCTACGCCACACGCTTTGTCGCACTGGCAAAGCAAATTTGCACCTTTGTGTGTATTAATTAAGCAGTGGCAAACTTTGGTGAAAATACATCAGTAGGTTAGGAAAGTGTGTCATTGACCACAGTCTTTCAGACTCCACATACATGAACACAGACCGATATATCAGCTTGTACAGACAGTCTAAGGGCCTGTGTCCACTAACAGCAGTGTCCATGACTGCTGGACTCCATTGTTAAGTGTTCCAGGTTATGAAAACTTTCCCTTTTCTTATAAATGACCATTAAATTTGTTTTAAATTTGCTTCATGTTTGTTCAGATTTAATGGAATTCAAGAGCAATAAACGGCTAGGTTTTTTTTTTTAGACCTGATTTCAACCGTCTAGATTCTGTGTATTTTTAGACAGAATTTAGAGGTTGCACTTTAACCCATTATTCAATAACTATTTATTTCAAAAAGCAACCGTGAGTTGCATAACTGATCTCCAAGTACTTAACCAAAATAATTATGATAGCCTTTGAGCAACATACAGTGAAGTATAGATACAGCCAAGATTTGGACTTGGTCTAAACATGGTCGTTAGACGTTTTAAAAAAACTTTCATTTTTAGACCTGTGGTAGCCTGATTTTAGACCAGTCATCTAGGCTACATTCAGACGTCTATTAGACCTCTGTTAGACCAAAAAAAAGCTCAGTGGGATTCACATAAATAATGTAAAAACAGTTGATGGATATTGTGACATAGACCTCTGTTGTTGTTGTTGACAAAGTTGACCCTGAAACTCCCACCCCTTCTTGATTTTGATTGGTGGGTGATAGTCATTGGCAAGCACTGTGGTGTTCTGTGCTGTGAACATAGCAACAAAAATATGCTCAGGGCCTTTTCACTGCCCTGAAACACAAAATTCTGTTAGTTCTTTGCACACACAAAAAAATGCTGTAAGTAGACACAGGCCCTAAATAAGTGGAAACTGTCCCCTTCACTTCAGTTTGGTATTTTTAAAGTCTGAAGCTTGCTCTTTTGAATCCAGAATAACTATACTTTGTTTGTGGGATGGATATGCTTTGTTACATCTCTGTTTTGGTTCACTGGAACTCCTTTTGTTGTCTCTGTCAATAGGGTTCACATGCCCCATGCTGAGCATACACCATTTATCAACCATTTTACTTTAAGTGGGACCAAATTTTACAAAAATAAACACAATGCTGTATTGAAGTGTATTTTCAAAGGCATTACAAACCTCAACTACAGCACAGGTTTTTTATTCCCACAAAGGAGAAGACCTGTTTTTATTTAGTAAAATTTGAGCAGTAGGTTTTTTACTGTATCTATATGACATTCCTGAACAATCCATTTGACCCCTGAGTTACCCCTAGAATAGAAAAACTATCAAGGGAGACGTCTCATTTCACCCTGAACAAAAGGTCCCTGACATGAGTCATCCTGTCTCCCCCTGAGCTCCCAGGAGAGGTCATAGACCCCAGGTTAGAAACTTCCATCAATGGTTTTCACTCACTCTGTCTCTGCAGTCCACCCCTGCCAAGAGCTGGTACAGTCCCCCTTCTCCCCCCCGCAGGAAGGAGGAAGTAGTAATGTCAGGAAAGATTAGACCAGCAGGGGTTGTTAGAGCATCTCTCCTGTCAGGGTGGTTGAAGATAACAGAAGTCTCAGGAGAGCTGGAGTCCAGACAGCTAACCTCTCCTCTCTTTCTCTTTCTCTCTTCACCCTTAAAAGCCTGTTCAGCTCTCACACTCTGTTGTGTTTATTCACATTGTCCCCTTTGTTTAGCAGAGGAAGGTTCTGTTCTGGTTCTTCCACTGATAAAATACTGTATTGTCACCCTTTTACATTATCATCTGCTCACTGCATAGGAGAATCCAAAATGCGATTTCATTTTATTTGTTTCAGTCTTTGTACGAGGAAATAAACCAGAAAGTGAAGAAACTGCAAACAAAGTTTCTGTTTCTGGTAAAAAGCATCCATGAAAATAATCTTGCAAAAGTGTCCTCTTAGATTTCCAAAGTGGTTAATGCCGTCAGCATGAGTCATGATTTCTTTCCAGAGACTTTGAAGCTCTAAAGTCCATCAGATAATTTTTAATTTTTAGATCAATAGTAAATGTTATTGGATCTGCCTTAGAGGTTGCTACAGGCTGGGTTTAAAAACTTGGATGTGGGACATATTTGGAGGTCGCGCCGGTCTGTGATTTTGAAATTATGCCAAGCGTAATGAAAATTAAAACTACAGTATTATTCAGAGTATAAGATCAATTTAGTTATTGAACAACTTCGCTTTTACCCTTCAAAATAAAATCCATCTGTGTGACCTCAGTACATTTGGTCATGGTTTGAAAGTCATGAGTAGCTCCACATGTCAAACAGCTACATGCAGAGATTTGAAGCCCATTACTTTATCTTTTTAATATATGTCAACAGTGAAACTGACCTGCTTGTTCGCTTTGATATATTCTGGCTGTTGGACAACCAAAGTGCTGATCTAGCATCTAAGGATGAACCAGAATCAATAACCGCCAATAATGATCATCGCAGTGATTGGCAGGCTGTCAGTGGAAGTGATAACACATTATTACTTGTGTTATTTAGGGGACCTGACAGGAGGAGATCAGATCCCAGAGGGTCAAAGGTTTGACCTTCTTTAAAGATGTTCAGAGTGAGTCTCTGGCTCTGTTACGTAAAAACTGAGACTATCGAATTGCAAAATGAAAATATGAGCATCTTTTGATCGTTTCTTATTGAAAATACACTCCATTTACACTATTATTAAGTCTGGCAACATTAATTTTGGATACTGTTTTTTATTCAAAAAGCACCCCTGGAAGTGTTTGTTTGCATACAGGGTGGATGGCTCCAGGGCTTAACAAATAAAAACAGTCTATCCTTGAAACTATTTGGCAGTTTATGAAAATACTCACAGAAATATACGTCATAAAAAAGCAACACAATTCACCGGTGAGATGAGTCAGGATGAATCGACAGACGTGGAACAAACCTGGGAGCACAATTCGTGTCACACCAAAGATGACTTGACTTTCTCGAGTATTCTAGAGCAGCACCACAATGATTGATTACAAAACTAATGGCTGGTTTATAACGATATGAGTAAAAATTGAGGTTTCCAAAATATTTTGATGGGAAATTTATGTCAGTTGGAGTCCATTTTCACAAAACCTTTCATTTTAGTTTCTGTGAAAGTGGGATACAAGTTTAGAGCATCTAAGTTAAATACAAGTTTTGTACAAATCATCCTGTTTTCTTCTGATGGTAGGAACAAATTTAGTTTTTTCTGTTGCCTTATCTATCGCCACTATTTAAAAAATAACCAACATTAATTCATCCTGTTTTTTACAGACATAAATATGCACAGTAAGAGCGCACATAAGAGTTCACATCATATTTTTGCAGCTCTTGGCAGCTGCAGTAGAAGTACACGATAAAGGAGAAGATGGGGTGTGTATCATGGGAGTAGTATGTGTCTGTTTTCCTTTGAGCGTTTCCTTCGTACGCAGCCCCGCGGCTCGTCTGTCACACGTGAGCACTCTGGGATTACGCAAACCCTATTCCCTTCAGGAGGAAGACGTCTAACAACACTAAGTGAGGATTCTGCATTTCTGCCTGGATACTGGAGACTAACCAGCAGCAGCAGCAGGATGGGCTCAGAGCTTGAGTCTAATGGTCGGTCACGCCATAATTCAATGCTGGATTTGATTAAAAAATGATAGAAGGTTACTAAAGACACAAATAAAGATGACATGAATAATTTCAGCGGGAAATTTAATTATATAACAGCACAAAAAAAAAGGTGTTTTTGCCTCTTAGTGCTAAAATTGTGATCATTTCGAGGAGAGAAAATCTACCATGTGAGCTTGACTGCTGGAAAGAAGCTCATGCTGTTTATTCATGCAACTATAGATCATAACAAACAAACTGCCAACATGTTGATAAAGGAAGACCATCAGTAGAAAACATGAAGTAACTGTGTGAAAAGGCTTCTGTTTGCACTATAATCAAGATAATAGAATTTTCCAGCAGTGATTAACAGTAAAAGCTCATAAAGTAAATCTTCTGCTTGTTTCGGGGGTCGTGTCACACAGATGTTATACATTCAGTCGTGCTGGTCTGACACACGCCACAGTCACATCTCAGGGCCACAGGGTAGGTGTATGTTGGGTCCACGTTTGGCTGACAGTTCGGCAGTTTCACAGAGGCCAGACGGGTCTCGTTGTAGGTGCAAACACGCTGGTAGGACTCGATGTAGGGCGGGTCCAGGACAGGTTTCTGGAAATAATCACAAAAATGTCATTTAAACGGATTTCTACCTTTTCTTTGGAGGTAAGCCTTGCCTACGTAAATTCACTGTATCCTTCTATATGTTGTTGGGTATTTACCAAGCTCATTATGCTCATTGCATCCATGCTCACGCCACTTCTTCAAATGTATAAACAACAGAAACAAGCATTGTTTCTTCCTGCACCTGTGTTCAAAAACTTCACTAAACTCTTTGATTTAGTTTTTTTTTTTTTGAAGCTGCAGAATAAACAGCTTCCTGTTTTTGTCACAGGTACCTGATATGAGAACAAATCCGCCTAATTAGACAAAATTTCTTTGCTCTGTTTGTGATTTTTGGCAGCCTTTTTACCACTGGTCCTCTGTTTTTCCAGCAGGCTGTGTTTAAATGTAGATTAGTGACACATCTGCAAAGCCTCTGCTATTTGCTTGTGTTGTTGGAGCTTCAGGGGTTTAATTATCTTCCACTGTCGCAGTAAATAAAAATGAAGCGGTTGTTTTGGGCCAGTAAGGTTTAATATCTTATTTATGTGTTCTTTATTTTTAAAGATATGTTAATGTTTTTGTCTCTTTTCAGTCAGACAAGACAAGAAATATGATGAGAGGAGAGTGGAGGATGAGATCTAGAGCTGGTTGGTAGACGGAGACGGATGTTTGATCCCAACATCCACTCCCCCGTCGACCCACCTGTGAGACGGAGCAGACAAAAAGACGAGCCTCCCCTCGAGGGCAGCAGATGAGTATCACCGAACAAAGCTCTGGGCCTCAAACACACACACTCACGTACAGTTACACACACACACACACCAGCTACAGTGCAATTACAGGGCGGAGAGAATCATGAGCTTTCTAATGCTCCTTGTCACTGAGTACAATGAACCAGATGAAACTTGAGATTTCACAGCGTTTTTCTAATCAGTATTCGGCGACTTATGAAATCTAATTGTGTCCTTTTATGCACTTGAGGCATTGTTAAAGGAAACTGCTGCTGTCGCTCCAGTCTCTGGATTCCATGCTGCTTTCCATTCTTGCAGAACATTAACTCGATTTTGCTGCAAACGGCTCTAAAAGCCTCCGAGATGAACACTCCAGACAGCCTCTCATTACCATGTGACATAACTGGAGGTTTTTTCTGCTTATAATAAACATGCATTGCACTTTTCTGCGACATCTGATTTACATTTTTCCCTCTTTCTGCGCCCTGTAATTTGTTCATCTGCAGCGTCCTCTCTTTCAGTCCCAGATAAATCTCTGCTATCACTCACTGGCTGTGCTCTGACTTCCCCCCCGCAGAGGGAAACATCACAAACTTCCTCGCAGAGATCACCCATCCCTCCATCTCTCTCTCTTTGGTTAGTATTTATTTCCCGTGTCTGTCTGTGAGGCTGAATTTGCATCTGATCTTCTTCTCCTCTTGGATTGTGAGCTAATGCAAACAGCCGACTCCCTCCTTTTGTGTAAAGTTGTCAGCTTTGCTTACATCTCCTCTCAGTATAATCTAATCACATTTACACACCTCTCCTCTCTCTCTCTCATCTCTGTGTGTAAAGTACAGTAGCCGCCTTCAACATGCTCACCTCCCAGGTCTCACAGCGCCCCCAGCAGGCGTCGGTAGTGATGTGCAGCCCCCCGCAGCCAGGCTTCTTGGCCAGGAAAGTGAACTCCCGGACTGCGCAGCCGATGAAGCGCCGCAGGTTGACAGCTGACACCGAGTGGAGAGAGTGAGGCTGCAGAGAGATCCAGAGCAGAAACCAGCACAGCACCAGGCCAGACCTCCTGAGGGTGAGGAGCAGATGTGTGTTCATATTTAAAGGAAGGATGGGCGTATTTTTAAGCTCTGGGAAAACATCAGTCTGCAGGAACAGCTGCACAAGAAGCTAAAAGATGTAAATTCAAGGGAAGAGAAAGGAATGCTTAACAGTTGGAGGTCTGAGACTAACAAGAAAACAAGTTTTATAGCAGGAATCTTTCATTTTTAATGTACCGTGGCTTTTTTTGAACCACGCATCAGATAGAAGTACTGAGGTTTGTTCCATCACTGTCAAGGGTCTCTTAAAAGCAGCACAGACAGCCCCACTGAAAAAGAGACTTAAAAATTTTTTTTTTTAGATTTTCAAAACATGTTTTTTTCAGTTGTTTTAGTTGTTTGTTTTAAGTACCAATAGGCACAAACACGACATTACTTAACAATTTATGACCTTCATACCATGTTTTACAAATATGTATAAATAATTAACACAAAAACTGTTCAGGTATTGCAAAAAAAAAATAAAAATCATGAAATGGAACACAAAAAATTTGGAAAAATTAAAAAAAAATTAATGAAAACACAGAATATTTTAACAAATACAAAACTGATGCACATTAAGTTAAAAAATCAGATAACAAAATGCAACAAAATATTTTGGGAGCAAAAAAAAAAAGCAAACAACATAGAAGTTCTATTATTTTAGTTTTTTTTTAAAAGGTTTTTAGTTTAATCAATACATTTTGCTTTGAGATAAATTGCAACAACTGTTAAAAAAAATTCTGACATAGTTATGTCACTAAAATTTAGGTATTTTGTGAAATGTGTTTCTGACCCATAAATATTTTTTTGTGTGTGTTTCGAACCATTAAAAAAAAAATTTGTGGTCATAGATTGTGTGTGCATTTCACCTCCTGAGCCTCCGTAGATTTCAGACAAACTCGTGTAAAATTGACGGTGCTGGACTTGTCCTTGACTGGCTCATTTCACTAAAGCCTGAATACATCCAGACCCGTTAATTGAAATGACATTTCACATTTGCCTCGTGCTAATTGTGTGTAAATGTAAACAAGACTAACAGCTTTACCCGTTTGACATCTCACACTTAAACACCGTGACCAAGAGTGTTGAAGGGCTATTAAGCCGGGTCAGTACACTTCCAGAGAGACTCTTTAATCACTCTGTCACCGTGTAGTACCAGCGCCAGTCTTCAAAACTAAGAACCTGATATAAAGGTGAAACAGTTAGGATGCAAATCCCGCTCATTCTGGCCTGTGTTTAGGCAGGAGTGGTATGCAAAGTGGTGAGTACAAACAGCTACAATGTTGACTCCAAAAAAACAAACATACAATTGACTTTCCAGCATCCAGATGAGCATTTCTTTGCCAGGTAGGCTCAAACTTAAGGGGGATTTTCGCAATGATTCAAAACGAGACATTTAGGAAACCTAAAAAACACATCAGGAGATTTCACTGCCGTTCATATATCTCATGTTACTAAATTTAGCTGCTATATCCAACATTTTATCGTTATGTGTATATATTAAAGCATGGATCAGCACAATAGATAGCCTTTAAGTTCATTAAAATTCTCCAGATTTACTCACCATTGTAATGTTGTCCTTTGCGGGGTCATCTCAGCTGGATCCACAGTGTTTCAGTCCTGCAGCCAAACACTGGAAGTTAAAGTCTTGCCTCTTGATTACACACTAAAGTACGTCGACACACAGAAGTTCAAGCGAGCTGTTGCTGTCAAATAGCAGCTAATCTACCTGTCTTGGCACCCAATCTTTAGCCCAAGCTCTGACGTTCCTCTCTGGCAGTGTGGAAAGCTGACACAAACCAGGGCGCTTGTCGTTTACACGCTCATCAGTCCTGAACGTCTAACTAATGGATCTAACAGTAGAAGACAGGGCTTTTTATTACCATGGGTCCTGCCAATCAGAGGCTGAAGTCCTCACCTCAGACTCCCTAAATCTCCCCCTGGAGGCCTTTCTACCTGTCGCTGCCCATATCATTCAGCCACCAGCTTCTTCCCACTCCATTAGCTTGATTAGAGAAAGACTCTGCCCTTTTGTTCATAGTCATCCACACAGAAAAGAGGCAACAACATCGTCAAGCACAATGCCTACCTGCGTCTACTCTCACTCATCCGAGCTCAATTAGCCGGCTCCAGACCCAAACCCTGCTCCTGTTTTCACATGTCGACTGCAATGACTTCACTCCGGAGCTCCATCCTTTTTGTTTTCCCTAAGTCTTTGTCTCGTTTGTGTCATTACTCAGGACAGAAAGGATACATGTCAGAGGTTGCATCAGTCCTCCCAGGAAGAGCACGAAGGGGGCTCAAAGAGGTGGGAAAAAATTGATTCGGGTGAGTAAGCGCTTCATCAAGAAATTACCATCGTCAGAAGGCCCCCGAAGGCAGCGTGCGAAGCCAGTGGAGCAGAACTGCTCTCAAGTAGCTCAGGAAATGAATCTTTAAAAGTAGAGTTGAAAGTTAAGGCCAAGCAATTAAAGTTAGATTAGAGAAAATACAGAGCAGGATGAGTCAGGGACGGGGTTCAGACACCTTTTCCTCCGACTATCACGTAGAATTAACCACGCTGAGCTTCTTTTTGAACAATGTGCAGGGTGTGGAGGATAAAAGGCCATGTAATGGGATAACAGCGATGATTACAATGAGGTTAATGTAATTCTGTACAAAGGGAGTAAGCCTGGATTTCCAAAATCCGCTTTTGTCGCAATTATTCATGGATTGCAAATAAGAGATTCTTGCCTAATTTTCTTAGTTTCACTTTTTTGTCATCACATTTATGTTTCTAGTAAACTCTTCAGATTAATTCAACTCAAATTACTAACTTTGAGTTGTTAGTCTTTGCTTTCCTTCAGGGATCTTGATACAACAGGGAAGACTTGTATTTTACAACTAAAAAGGAATATCTCCTGTTTCCACTTTTATGAAATGGTAGCATCAAATTTAAAAACAAATGCAAATGTTTAATTTCTACATTTACTGGTTTTCTTTGCAGCAATTTTTTTTTATAAAATAACCGCAAACCATCAAATTCTGTATTCTGACAAGCTCCACTTCTTCTGAGGCTCCCTTGGAAAGGCTCTTCCCACCATCCTACCCAGGTAGAGCTGCAGCATGATATACTTTTTTATTACAGAAACAAAAGATCACAAAGTTCCTGCCAAAGGCTCTCTATTTTCAGACTTAAACCAAGAGAAATCCTGTTGGTTTTGCCTGAGGGCATCACCAGCCCAGCGGTAACATGATGCTGTGCTGACCTCTGCTGCTCACTTAAAGTATTGATTCTCACCCAGGACCTGTGAACACACCCTGAGAGAGTTGCAACAGTTGTTCCAGCCATCGCTTTGATACCTCCTTTACTTTTGTGTTCACCTTAACTTTGAGCTCCCAGATGGTATTTCAGAAGACTTTTTGAATGTTCTTTTTTGTTTTTCAAGGTTTCTGTTTAATGTATTTTTACATGCCTTGTACAAAGTGTGCTTTACAAATGTCGAGGCTTGGAAAACATTTGTGGAGAGCTTTAAATGAATATACACTCAGTAAAAGAAACTGTTCTATGCATACAACAACAATCCCATATTGTCTACTTAACTATAACTAATCAAATATGCAAATATTTGATAATGTCGAGCATCTCAGGGAAACAAGCATCCACTTTGGCATTTTGCAAATACCCGTTGAGCTGTTACTGTCACTGGAGCTTCACACAGAGCTCAGCCTTTTCCTTCATGCTGAGCCAGCCTATGTGAACTCTGACCTCTGTGTCAGCTCTTTAGCAATCTAGGACACTCTGGTCCTGGAAATATGTGGCTTATAGGTGCAGCAGTTGCTCCAAGCACTGCATAACGTATTAACCTGTTTTGTGGTTCATCCAGACAGGATTCCACAAACATAAACATACCTGTTGTCTGGAACCCGGGAGGCCTACTTGGGCTGAACCATTATGGGTGGAGTGCTTAAAAGACGGCAATTAAAATAATTTGTCTTACAGTAAGGAGTCTTTTCCTGATCAGGATTATCAGGATATCTGTTTTCCTTCTGATTATGTAGTGAGGCACAGAACTTTTGCATATTTAACGACTGAATTTGTAAACAAAGATGCACAAATTCTCTGTATTTTTGAGACACCCTCTCCCACAAAAATAATAAATAAAAATAAAATAAAATAAAAAATATTCTGACAAATGTAATAAACAATTATGCCAGTAAGTTTTAGATGAATTTTATCTCTTTCCGTACCTTGCATGTACCACATCAAATAAATGTGAATGCAGAACTTGCGCCCAAAAAGCTATAGTTTGTTTGTAGTAAATGCTTAAATATGCTAAACTGTAATTTAAAGGAGCACAAAACCTAATTTTAAATGTATTTTGCTGAGCTGTATCAGTGTCAACTATAAGCTACATGACATGTTAGCTAGGCTAATCTGTAGAACATAAAGCCACAAGGTAGAACGAATTGTAAATGTCTAATCTTAATATCATTTTTGGTAAAAAGTCTGCGGTATTCACATCATGTACAGTTAAAAAGTAGTGGTAAGCACTACATTTGTGCAAAAAATTTTTGCAAATTAAGCTAGATGCTATTTTGTATCCCAGCAGTTTAGCTCGCACAAGTTAATTTCCTTATAAAGATGAATAATGAATAAAATGTTGAATTTAACATCTTAATTTCCCAGATTTCATTACAGAAATATGGTCATCTCATGTTGGGAGCTGTTGAAAAAATACTAGTATAGTTGGGGGCAAATAAAGCTAGCTGCCATTTTCTATCCCAGGAGTTTCGCTAGCATAAGTTAATCTACTTTTAAAGATGAATAATAAATTAAATGTCAAATTTAACATCTGAAGTGTGGTCAAAATAGAGAGAAAACAGTCGGTTTACTTTGACTTGTTTGAAAATCGTTTTTTTTTTTTTTTTTTTTTATTGGGGGATGTTGAAAAAATACTGGTATAGTTGGGGGCAAATTAAGCTAACGGTGAGTTAGCTTTAGTGTCAGTAAAACTAAGCGACATTACTGGTGCTCTTTATTTCCAATTTCTTTTATTTTTATTTATTTTTCTACTTTTTCTGTAGTCATGCTGTCCTCCTTTATGTAATATATTAGTCTGAACCTTCATGAATGGATGAGGGGACACCAGAGTCGTACTCTCGTTGCCAGGTTTTGGATTAGTTCCACCGTGAGCTGACATTAAACCTGACCCCATTACGTGCACTTGTTGATGCTGGACCTTTAACCCAGGTGTCAGACTGCAGTGCTAAACTCTTGGAGAGGGGTGTGTGTTGAACCCTGACTGGTTTCTATATTTAGGCTCCCAGCAGTGAGTTTTTTTGATCGGCCCCGGTATGGCTGGGGCTTCTCCGGTGTCAGTCCGGCCCGTCCTGGAGCTCAGAAGCGGACTGCAGATCTGAAAAGTTGCGCTTCGGGTTTCACCTCCACAGACTACTACGGAGCAAGGTCGGTTCTTCCTCTTTGGGGATCACTATTGACTATACCTTCACCTGGCATCTTCACCAACAACGTACTATTTTGCAGCATGTAAGTACAAGAACTTATTTAATGCGTCTTATTTCCTAGAATCTGAAATTATCAAATTGAACCTGCAGGTATACAGAGTTTTCAGCGCTATTTATACCTCTGACATTATCAATAACGGAGCTGCATTCATCTCTTTTGTGCCTTTTAAAGTGTCTTTTCCTGAATCTGTCGTTATCTACTGTGTTAAAAAGTCCTCTGCTCCTCCTCAAGGACTCATTTTACTGCTCGGTTGAACTGATCTGAAAGCAGCCGTACACACGTGTTCCCCCACTGCTATTTTGAGGATCTGACAGCTTCATAACATCGACACTATCTCGCATTCCTGCAGTCAGAGGGTGCACACTTTGTAGTACACGATAGTAAACGCGCAACAGCAATAGAAAACTGTCTGCCACTGCCACATTATTGCATAGTTACATGCCTTAATGCATTGCATAGTAACTTTAAAGGCTTTACAACTATCTCACTGTGTTCAAACACTGAGGAGGCCAATTAAACTATTTTATCGACTAATTAGGTGGATAATTAGTGGCACATTCTGCAGCACCATGCCTCATTTAATTCACAGTCACATTTGCATCAGACTTTGAGTTATGGTGGCGCAGCTCTACAGGAGATTTGTGAGGGGGGATGACAAATTTATAAACATCGATCTTGACAAAGTTTGACTTTGAGTTCATGGCACTTACTGGTGAAAGACAGATGCATTTCAAACACATAGGTTGTTTTTTCTCTTTGATATGAATTAGTTTATCACTCTGTTTTCTGCAAATTTAAGAAAGATTTTTGTAAACACGGAATATAGGGCGTCTGTTTTATTGGCTGAGCAAACCAGTGCCTCCAAAGCTGATTTTTCATTGTTCTTTTTAACCATATGTCTCACACTGATCGTCGAGTACATGTCTGCATCCAAGGGGTAATGTGTTGTAAAACTAGAAAACTCCTTTACTCACGTATAGGTCAAGGCCTACCCGATCCAGATTCACTATACATTATTGCGCTAATTACGAGGCCAATTAGGTGGTTTGTGCCTGTTTTCTTCAATTTAGTGGATGTCTCTTTCTCTATATAAGAGAAAGAGATATCCATGTTTCTTCTCTGTTGCCTTTTTTTCCTCTTTTTTAAAGATATTCTTTGTGCCTGAAATAAAAAGACAAAAACATCTAATATGAACTTTCAAGGTGTCTTGGGAAGTTGGTGCTCATGTGGCCCTGAGCT